ACTTGAGTGTTCATAGCAACATTATTCATATTAGCCAAAAATTAGAAACAAACCAACTAATGAACAGATAAAAATGTGGTATATCCACATAATGGAATAGTATACACTGCTTAAAAAGGATTGGGGTCTTGATACATGCTACATGGATGAATCTTGAAAACACAGGCTAAGTAAAAGAAGACAGACACAAAGGTCACATATTGTATGATTCTATTTGTATGACGTATCCAAGTAGGAAAATCCAGAGCAGCAAAAAGTAGATTAGTGGCTCCCAGGGCATAGGGGTAGAAGGCATTGGTAGTGACTCCTACAAGATACAAGTGTTGAGGTGATGGAAACATTTTCAAATTAGTGAGTGGGGATGTTTGCACAATATTGTGAAACATACTAGAAACCACCAAATCATACATTTTAAAATAATATTTTTTTAAAAGCAGAAAAGGTGAGGATCTGGTCACCTTCCCTCTTGTAGCTAGAATTTGTAGAGTACCTATTATACGCAGAGCACATTTGTAAATGTCTTACTTCATTAATTCATTTAATCCTCAAAAGAACTCAACAAGGCATCTTTTAAATATAAGAAAGTTGAAACAACAGAGGAAGTTAAGTAATTTGTCCAAAGTCCTATAGACAGTAAGAAAGAGAGCTGGGCTTAACAAACCAAGCAGTATGGACCCAAAGCTCAGGCTGCACACTGATTACCAGCCATTGTGACCATGAAAATTGGGGTACATACTTCCAGATAATTTTCACTGAGGGAGTGCAGGCACACACATGCACATGTGTGTGTGTGTAGTTAGATAAAAATTATACACATAGGGCTATACTGGAGATCAGCAAACTGTAGCCTGGAGGCCAAATCAGGCCCACTGTCTATTTACACACTAAGAATAGAAGGGATTTTATATTTTTAAATGGTTGAGAAAGATGGGAATTGAAAAGGAACATTTCATGACACAAAAAAAGCATGTAAAATTCAAACTTCAGTGTTTTGGAACAAAGCCATCCTCACTTAACTTTTGTCTGTGGCTGCTTTTAAACTGCCAGGGCAGTGCGAATAGTGGCAACAGAAGTCAGTATGACTCCCCCAGAGAATCAGCTATTTCTATCAGGCCCTTTAAGAAAAATGTTACTGACCCTTGGATTATACCACACATGACACTCTAAAACTTTCTTTGGTCACCGTCTAGATTTCCTTAATCTCTTTAAGTGGCAGCAAAATCAAAATACACAAATTAGTAAACATATCACCTATTGATGAAAATGCCATTTGCCAAACTGTTCTCCAAATGGTTGGATTAACTTATCTGCCTCCTAATGAAATGTGAAAATGACCTACATTTGGGCGGCATAGATGCCTGGACTTCAAGAAGCTTCTCACCTGTCTCTCCGAATGCAGGCCGCTCAGCAGCCGCTCAGCAGCCGCCCAATGCTGAGGCTTAGTCCTGAGCAGAGCCCCTGCTGTGGACTATGTGGTCAGGCCAGTGTTGCATAGGTTGTATAGAAGGACTCATCTCTCATTCTTCAACTATCCTTACTTTCCTAGTTTGGGTATGTACTGTAGAAGCCTCTGTTCTTTTATGAGCAGTTAGAGAATTGGAAGCATAGCTCCTCCTCTTTCTGCTGTCCCCGTGGTGGACAGGTGGGCCATCAGCTGCCTCCTCATTCGGTGCTGAGACATCCATTCCCCAGCTGCTGGCAGCTCACAACTTTCAGTTGTTTCTTTCTTTGGGAATTATCTTCAGTTGAACAAAGCCACTTACTTGATTGTCATATCCCCTCTCCAGAGGCAAATGCATCCAATAACTGGTCAGTGGAAGAATATAAAAACTCATCCACCTTGACATTAGGTAGGACAATTACAAAGGGCCATCCCAGCTCAGAGCTCCCCATAGAATCCACGAAGGCTCAGTTAATCATAGTGAGACTTCTGCCCAGTTCTTTCATTGCACAAAGATGCTGCACTAAGAATACTATCCCATAAATTGTCTACAAACAAATCTGCATTTTAGAGTCTGTTTCTTGGGGAAACTGAGTTAAAACACTCCTAATTTTGTGATGTGATATTTGAAACAATGGCTGAGTTGAGGGGACAAAAACCAGGATATAAGGCTCAGTTTCTTCCACTCTTTTCTGGGCCAGCCCTCCTGCAGACAGATGCATGGTCCCCTGGCTTTCATAGGGCAAGCACACCCGAGACATGCCTCACGTTATGCTCTTCCAAGGCAAATCTGAGCAACCACCAATCTCTTTTTCACAGAAATGAGCTCTAAACTGTGTGACAAGGAAGATGTCTGTGGGAATCTTCTTTAAAGTCTAGTTTTCCTCAGGATTGGATTGCCCAAGAATCTAGAGTTAATTGAAGACTCTAGGAAGTGCAATTGTGGCAGTAAACCTAATCTAGGATCTCCAATTAGGCCTGATCAATTCTTATGTTAATTAACATAATTAACATTTCATCTTTATCTGCTTCATTCCTTTGTCTTTGGCTTCTCATTTGGATGGAAGCTGTGGGGCAGGAATGAGTCCCAGTCATCATCCTAAACCCACACTGACAGAGAATAGCACTATGTATATCCAATAGGTAAACAGTTGTTCCTCATTATTAACCACTAACAGTCTAATTTAACAGAACTAACAGTCTGATTTGCCTACCCCAACAACTCCTTAGATTGGGGCAGGTCTAAGTTCAAACCCAGCTTGGGCATTTGTGATTTAGAAAAGCAGTTTTCAAATAGAAAAACTGACCCTATTTCCTTATTTGTCAATGAATCTAAGAAGATCCATCTCAGACTTAGTTTAGGGATTAAAAGCAGTAATATACACACATAAAGTGCCTCCAGAAATACCTTATAAAGTGGGTACTCAATAAATGTTATTAGCTTAGTAAGGATTAATAACTATTTTATAATAAACCCAAGTGGGCCTTTTCTAGATTTTTAAGAGATTATAAAATTCTCTCTTCTCTCCTAATAGGGAGGAAGATGACTTTTCATCCTAAAGATACTATTTCAAGCAAAATTTCTCAACAGTGAGTCAGTAAATTAGGTTCACACCAAAATTAACAAGGTAACAAGTGACAGAGAATTAGAAACAGAGAGCAACAAGCAATCACATCCGTTTCCCTCTTTATGTTATAGAATGTATGTGGGGATGCTCTCTGGATGTGTGTGTCTGTCCAAAGTTCATATGTTAAATCCTAACCCCAATGTGATAGTATCGGGATATGGGGCTCTATGGAGGTGACCAGGTCATAAGGGCAGAGCCTTCAGGAATGTGATTAGTGATCTTATAAAAGACAGTCCAGAGAATTCTCTTGTCCTCCCACCATGTCAGGATGATGGAGAAGACAGCATCTAGGACCCAGGAAGTGTCCTCACCAGACACTGAACATGCTGACTCTTTGATCTTGGACTGCCCAGCTTCCAGAACTATGAGAAATAAATGTGTGTTATTTAAATTGTTCACTGTATGATATTCTGTTATAGCAGTTGAAATTGATTAAGAGAAGAGAGAACATTCCCTTTGCCTACTAAGAACATTTTTAATGCTAGTTACTCAGGGCCTCCAGAAGTGAGATAGTGAAGAGCCTTAAGACACTGTCCATGATGGCAGCTACCAAGCTTGGATTCTAATCAGATATTGCCCTAGGCATCAAACAACTCATGAGTTGACTTCATTCTGCTAGTACGTGGCAAAGAAGGAAGTGAAGCCTGTGGTGAATAGTCCCATCACCTCCTCTTCTTGTCAAAAGGGAGAACCAAGTCCCCAGGTAGTTTATTTAGAAAAGCACCTTGAACCCAGAGAATAAGAAGCTGAAATGTTGGGCAATGGCCAACATTGGAAGCTCAATGGAGAATGAGTTAACCAAGACAACAATGTTCCACTTACGTCAGAGTGAATGCAACTGATTCTGGGCATTTATTACTCTGGGGAGTTCTCAGCTGTGAATCAGCATTCAGACTAAAGATCCTGCACACTAAGAATAAAAACAAGTAAAACTAGAAAAGCTAAGCAAAGAGTGACTTTCTTTAAACTTCTGGAAAGAAAGTCCTAATATGTCACAAAGTTATATACCAGAAAAGCACCTGGGATTAGTGTAGAGGTGGGTGACTTTGGAATGTAGACTCTGGGGACATAATCACTGACTTGATTGTGTCTTTTTAGCCTCTGATGCCTGTGATTTTGTGAACTTAGAACTATTAAACATAACAATGTGAGCAGTCCAAAAACCAAGCTCAAACATTTAACACAATGACTTTCAGAACTAGTGAACTGCAGAGAGGAGCTGACTGCTCTGTGAATATTTCCCTTGCCAACTTTTTCTAAACCTGTTGAAAATAAGCTTTATAACAGTCTTTTAAATATGATGGTATTTAAAAGAGAGAGAGAGGAAGGAGGAGGAGGCAGAAAAAGAGGAAGGGAGGGAGGGAACAAAGGGGAAGGGACAGGAAAAAAGGAAGAAAACAAACAAGGCAAAGGAAGGAAAGGAAAGGAAAGGAAAGGAAAGGGGAGGCGAAAGAAGGGAAATCCAAGTCTTTCAAATATGTTTCCTAATTCTTTTCAAAAGGCCACGATTATATTCCAGAAACAAGTTTGTTTTAGACCTGACCAAAAAAAGAGAAAAAGTACTGAAACGTAGTATTTCTGAATTCTATTAGGCATTATACATGATACAGAGCAAGAGACATGGGATATTTAAAGAATGTGCTCAATTCTTTGTAAACATAAGGGGTACCAGAGATTCCAGTTCAAAGGGCTAGATTACTAGCTTAAGAATGGGAGAAAAGTTCTGAGACCTTTCTCAGGCTTGTCATACTAGTTTCTGCAGGAATGCAGGAATTCTTGCAAAAAGGTTAGTTCTATAAACATACTGGCAAAGCTTGACTTTATGTATGTGAGAAAAAAACTATTTCAAAGTGTTAACAACATCCTCCATTTTAAAAAATGTATTTCTTTACTTTTTCTTCTTATTGAAAGGAGGAAATCTGCCAGCTCACCTGTATCAAACCCCACACTTGGCACTAAGTCCACGGTTCCATGAAAGGCTCCGGCCCATGCTGAGGTAGCAGTGCTGACCGTAGTCGGATCTGTCTTTGTGATGTCACACTGGGGAGCAGGAATCCTGGCTGCACGCACTGATGGCATCAGCAGAGGCCCATAGGAGGGATCCAGGGCAGAGCCAGCAGAAGGGTGGTGGTGGTGGTGGTGGTGGTGACGGCGGTGGTGCATGTGGGCATGGGGGTGGTGGTGACGCATGTACACATCATGCATATGGCTGTAGGATGGGCTCACCTGAGATGCCAAAGGGTAGTGCCAGGACTCAGACACAGGAGGGGGAGGGGCTGGGCCAGTCTGATGCAGGCCAGGTCCTGGCCAGGGGCTGGGCTCTGCTGCAGTAAAGGTGCCCGGGGGTGCAGCGACCTGGAAGTCAGGATGAACTCCCCCCAGGCAAGGTGCAGAAGGGGGCTGGTAAGAGCTGGTCCAAAAGGAGGTCGGGAAACTACTCCGCTGGCTTGAGAGAGCTGAGCTGTCTGAGAAGACAGAAAAATTATTTACATAAGTTTCAGTTCTAGGATAGATTTGCCTCCACTTGTCCAATACTTTACAGGCAGGCTAATTAGTAGGCACTCTTTGCTCCCCACACAGAGCTGAAGTGATCCCAGGTCAGCCTCGGAACTCCCTAGATAAGGCGATGCACGTGGTTGAACGTGCAGAATGAGCCCCCTCCCCTTGACTGCTTAGCTTATGTACAGTCTAGGCTGAGGTTTCAAAGTCTGGGGCTGAAAAGCCTCGTTTCCTCCCAGGCATCTTTCATTAGGCCTGAGCAGAGGTCACAGGAACCTGCGTTCCAGGTATGCCACAGATGTAAAACAAGTAGGTTGAAAATGATGATGGCTAACCAACTTCTTTTAAGTGAAAATACAATTTTCATTCAAACTCAACATTTTAATGCTGAAAGTACAAATGGAAGTAAGATCACATTTAATTAGGCTCACCAACACTCATTTTTCATCAAGAAGAGTGTATTCCAAGCTTATTTTTTTGGTAGAGGTCTGGAAGTCTCTGGACTGAGAATAATAATAGATAACACTTAGTGGCAGTTACCAAATGCTCACTACTAGGCCAGGGGGATGACCTTTTTGGATCTTCACTCCAGCTCTATGAGGTAGTTATTATCCCCATTTTAGAGGTGTGGGAATTAAGGCAGGGAAGAAGCCCACAACTTCACAGCTGGCAAGCAGGAGACTGGGCTTTGAAGACAGGTAATGCCTCCATGGCTGTCACTCTTCATAGCTGTGCCACAAGAGGGCAAAATTGTAACCATAACCTCAACATCTAGAATTTGGTGGATACTGTGGAAATCATGCATGGAGGAAGTTCAAGTAGAGCCAATGGATTTGAGGTGTTTGGGGGAGGGGAACAATATCAAAGAATAGCAAAGATAAGAAAGAGGGAGAATCTTCCCCCACTTGCTTCAATTCATCTTCTCCGCTCAACCACCACAACATATTTAAAGATTACCTACTATGTACCAAACACAGGGAGGTCATCTGGCAAGGGACAAATAAGTAAATAGACATGTGCATTGTGGCATGGTAGGTGTTTTCATAAGGGGAAGTACAGAGAGAGGGCAGTGAAGCAGCCTTATTGAAAGTGGGGGTAGAGCTAGCCTTGTGAAGAGGTAGGGCAGAGTGCTTAAGGCAACTGAAAAAGTATGTGAAAAAGGCTTAAAATGACACACACACACACACACACAAAGTAGCATTTGCAGGACAGAAAAAAAATTTAGTGGGCAGAAGGTGGCCAAAATTAGACTGTAGTCTAAGAAGAACCCATGGGGGTACAGTCTTGTCAGCCACGTAGTGAACATAGGTGCTGTCCTGAATAGGTCCAGTGAGCTCTGAAGAGTTTTACTCTACAGAGTGATACAGTCAGATCTGTGTTTGAAAAGATCAGTGTCTCCAGCTATAGCTTATTGTCTAGGTGTGGTATAACTGAGTGAGTACTGGACTGGGAGTCTGAGAGCTCAGCCAGAGAGCTGGCACCTAGCAATCACCTTTCCCATTTAATTACCCCACATGAATCTCTCTGTGGCTCAGTTTATTCTGCTAAAGTATTTGAATTAAAATTCCAAATATCTTCTGGCTCCATACTTCTATCAAGCTGTGAAGTGCCCTAGGAATTATTTCTATCTCTAGGTAAAGATAAGGTTGCTCAGCACATTAGTCATGCATATATATATAGTAAAATAGTATCTTCATACTGGGCTCTACACAAAAGAACCTGCCAGATCTTTCCACTGAATGAAGCATATCCTAAGAAGCACTCTGAAATAAAAGTATTCAAAAGTCTGACATTATCCATGTTCTCACTTCATAAATCTCCATAATTTGACTCAACTACCACATATATAATTTGATTAACATAATTAGGATGTCATTGTAGTGTTCAAACATTCATATTCTCTCACTTCCTGAACAGCTATGGCACTGCCTCACAAACCTATCCATTCCCCCCTGTCAGCTCTATACCAGAGTTACCATCATTCACCCCATTAGTTCTTTGGGGAGACAGATATTCCATGTCTCACATTCAGGTCTCTCCCTCACAGATCTCCATGGATCACAAAACCCTGGAGGAAAGCCAAGAAATGATGTTCTTCAACAAGCAAAGGATGGAAGTGCACACTTCCTCAAATTTTTTAATAGTCTTGGTGAATAGTTAATTAAATGACCTTGTTTGTCATAACTTCTATCAAAAAATAACACTTAAAGTCAAACTTACTGGCATTGGGGAAAATATTTTTTATTTAAGAATTGTCTCAACATGTAACAAATGGATGCTAGTGACAAGAAAGAAAATTATAGGCTGTGAAAATTCAATTTGCCTTAAAAGGAGGCCAATTGTAGAATATTTCTGTTACACCCACAATGAAATGAGGTATCAATGTTTCAAGTTCAAAGCCCATACAAGGAGTTTATAGAAGCTCCTTATATTCTATAGCACAGCTTTGCCACCATCTTCATCTGCTCTTAACTCTCATCTCCCAGTGGGGCCAGAATCCCATCATGAAAACTGCTGAACCCAACCCACAGATGTGTGTCAGAGATAGTTTTCCTTATTAAAATTCCCCCATTAAAATGTCAAAAGTACAGAGTATACATCATTTCCCTGGATGCTTTTATTTCATTTCATTTATATTTTATTTCAGAAATGTTTAAGCATTTTGGATAGGCATACACAAATGTCAATAGCCAATAAATTCCTTAGCAAAAATAGTATCCTATTTATGAAGCATTGTATTGTAATTAGTCAACACATTATCATTGAAAGTGGAAATCTGTTTCTTAAAATGCACTCCATAAAGGCTGAACAAAGCTTTAAAATGCCCCAGGGATAAATAAAATTAGAAGAACTTAACTTAACATTTTCCCAGTCAGCATGTCTCCTGAGATTAATAGGAAGTTTGCAGAGATCTATGTAGCCCTTTTCAAAACAGTGTTGCATTTTATAACTAAATGAAACAATATTGAATAGAACCTATTTTTATGGACAAATCTACACTTCAAGACCGCTATTTGGTATCTTGATTCTTAAAAAAAATTGATACAAAGAAACAGATGACATGCCTTGTTTCATGCCTGGGAATCCTGTGCTTATCTCATATGTACGTAAATTTTTTTCATTACATGACTCTTTGCTTATGAGTATTTAATCACAGCCACATTTGTCAGATGAAAAAGCATATGAAGAACTGCATGTGCTACTTTCATGCAATATTACTTTTCAGGTCAATGGAGGCAATTCAGAACTATCTGGTGTTAACACTCCATGGTGACTTTGGCCTCAGTGGTATTTGATATTTGAATGATGTTAACACTGATAGTCTTAAACATGCAAAAAACTAAATATGCTTTGGTTCACTTTGCATTTGGGATTAAAAAATATACACACACACACCCTTATTTCTAAACAAGATGACAAAATTGATACATTGCCAGATATAACCCACCTAATGCATGCCCAGTAATCTCACTGTTGTTTTATACTAGAAATATACCTTTGAGATAAAGAGTTTAATATAGAACATCAAGTAGTTCTTTCAATTTCATAGTAGCTGAGATACTTTTTATATTACCTTTATATGTCTCTGGAAAAAAAAATCTAAGAGCAAATGATTTAGCAAGAGATAATTCAACATTTAATTTAAAAAATAAATTTTATTAATTTTTATTACTTAACTTGAGAAAAATGAATATTGAATGAATATAGTAGTACAAGGAAAATGGGGCAATAAAATGTGGAACTTATCTCTTAAGTTATCTTGAAAATCTCCAGAAAACATAGTCTTAGAATAAATATTTTTTAAAACACAAATATTAGAAGATGACATTTACCTTTTTATTAAGCTCAGTGGAAGAAAAAATGCTACTTCATTTGTAATCTAAAGGGTCTTCACTGTAATTTAATTCCCATACTCTTGTTCTGCTTCCCATAAAAATAAATTGTTGGGTCAGAGGTGAAAGAATGTCTGTCCCACTGCTTTCTGTCACTCAGGAATTAGGCATTGCTATTATACCCAAAGATTGTCCTCTAGTTACTCTGTTCTAGAGCTTCTTAAAATGAGCCTTGTGACTCCAAAATGAGAGTTTCAAGGGGTGATATCAGAATATCAGATGCCCATACTCCTTGGAGGTGGGACTATGAGGTGTCAGTCTTCATGCTTTCCACGTGATTGTTCTGAACCTCCCAGCAGTGGCTACCTCAGTGCCTCCTGCAGGTGCAGCTCAACTCTCCTGCCCATCTCAGCCAGCTCAAGGGACCTGCCCCTCCTTTCCTTTCTCCTCTTGGCTGTGTGAGGTCAGTGTTCATTTTGAGAGGTCTTTCCTATGGGCATGAGTTGCTCCAAGCACATACTGTGTAGATCACCCAAACAACAAATATTTATTTTGCAACTATAACAAGAAAAAATATCAGTAAAATTTACCATTCAGCATGATTTTTCAGACAGTGAGGTATCTTGCTGTGATTCAACTACTCCCCTTTCCTCCACACACACACTTTCTGTAGTAATACGTGAGCCCTGAGATCAGTGCATAGACATATTTGTAGCTGATGTTTCTTTTGGATGGGGGGAAAGGGGCTATCAGATTCATTAGGTTTCCTTAAATGAAGCCCTATCCAGTTTCTGTTAGAATATATAATGGGATGAGAGGAAATTGAAATGATGTTGTACCAAATAAAGTACAAATATTTCCTGCCAATTGTTTGCCTCACAGCTGCAAAGTACCTAAAGAGGACATTCTTACCTCCATCAAGATTCATAAAGCATGGCCATTATTCCATTTATCAGCTGACTCTAAAGATTTACTGTAGAAACACATTCTGCAATTAAACATAATTCAGCTTTAAATTTCTCTGTAGCACTCTAGCATTTGTGTAGTAAGGTAAAAACTTTTTGCCATAAACTAGGCCCTTTAATTTAATACAGCTGGTCAGCAGCTCTTGCATAAAGTATTATTGCCATGCCATCAATGTTGTCAATGGCCTTGAATACCTACTGGGTCCAGAACACTGTGTTTTTGCCAGAAATACAAACTTCCAGAAAACAATGTTTCTGGATAAAGACCCAAGGTTGGTTTTCTATGCGCCAAATGTGGAAATTTACTTAAGGAAGAAAATAACATCTGATCTTCATTTAATACCTTGCATCAAACCCTGTGCCAAATTATTCATATACGTTATCTAAAAGTCTTTACAATTACCTGAGGAAATGAGTATCAATCAACACATATTTTAGTTGATTTGAGCCCAGAGAGATTTTAAGTAATTAATCCAAGATCATGTTGTAACCAGACAGTAATAAGCCCAAATTGAACCCATAAAGGAACAGAATTCAAACCTGTGTTGTTTTGTCAATTAATACAAAATTCCCAATAACCCTCTTCACTGGACACAAGAATCTCTGTTATAACTCTCTTTAAGATATTATGTTCAAAATCTTTAGTTACATTTTGTGGCTCTCCTATGAGTCATAGCCAACTTATGTATATTTATATAAAACTAATTTATAACTAGAAAAAACTATGGCAAAGTTTATTCACAAATGAAAAGTAAGAAAATACATTTGAAATCACAGAACATTAAAGAGAAAAGATCTCAACAATCAATACTACCCCTTCATTTTATAAATAAGAAAACTGTAACCAAAGATTTCATATAACTTATTATTAATAAATTCTCCATTAAGAACTTTTCTGTTTTCTAATCTGGGGTACATGGGATGAACTTGGTTCTTGGAGAGAGAGAGATGGAAATTAAAGAGTATACTGTGCTTTTCTGGGTTACTTTGATAAACTAAACTGACATATGAAGCTCCAAAATTTCTTGTCCTTACCTATCACTCTTCATTTCACTCAACTTACAACAGCATTTTTGCTTCTCATTGAAAACTAAGCTCAGACCTTCTTCAGGGCCTTTGCAGTGGCTGTTCCTTCTGTCTGAAATAACTTCCCCCTAGATATTTGTGTGATGAGTAGCACTCTTATTTCCTTCACGTCTGTGCTCCATCGTAATGGGCTCAGACAGAGTGCTTATTATCATCCCAAGTAAAACAAACCTTGCATTTTATTACATATCTATTACCTGTCTCTTGCAGGTAGAAGTATCTCAAAAAGCTCTTTAAGTGCTACAGGCTTAGAGACTCTCCTGTTCACTGATACATTTCCACTACCTAGAACAGAAGTTGCCTAAGTCAATGACTGAAACAGGAGATAGAGTTGAAGGCCAAATTTAAGAAAATTGTAATAATAGTTACTAAAACATAACCAGTATCCACTCTTCCTGTACTGAAAATTGACACGTGTCTACAGGTTTTCTCTATTCAGTCATGCAGATTATGGAAAAAACAACAAACACAGACTTTTTGCACATACACAACACCTCACTTAAAACTCTTCTAGTTATGATACTATAGACAATCACTCCCATATCTAGTATAATTTTGGGTTCTTGGTCTTATATTTCAGATTAAATGATTACTAGGCTGCATACATTTTGCTAAAAAGAAAAAAAAAAGGCAGAAAAGTAGGCATTGCATTTATTACCCTTGTAGGATGGATTGTCCTGGTAGGATTTATTATTGGTGTATGCAACTATTTATTAAAGCCAGCTAATTCACTGAGGTTTTCCAATTTTCACTCTCCACAGGTTATTAAGAGTATTTATCATGTACAGTCATATTGGTTGATTCTGTAAGCATTTTAGGCTGTGTTCTCAATTCTGGTGGGAAGTCCATAATGTTTACTAATCCAATAAGCAGTAATGCTTCCCAATTCAACTCTATCAATGTCTCAGTCACTTCACTTTATATTCCACCTCCCCTTCATAGTTACTGCTTATTTTAGTGCTCTCCATATTTACTAAAAAGAAGAAAGAAGGTAGGAAGGTAAGCAGCAGACAGGCATGCAGAAAAGAAAGGCATTGTATCCACAGATCAGGCCCAGCAATTTCAGAGGGCCAGGACCTCTCCCACAATGAAGCAGAACCACTCCTTTGAGGCTGAGAGGCAACGGACCATTCATCACCTCTCACTTGCCCCCTACCACAGGTGGTCAGCCTTTCTCAAAGCATCACCTGGGGCATTTGTTTCAGTGCGATTCCCAGAGACCCCCTCTAGAAACTGATTCAGTAGGTTTGAGTTAGGGGGTGTGCAATCTGTTTTTAACAGCACTAGATCAATGATTATCAAATTTGAGCCTGCATCTGAATTACTGGGAGGGCTGGTTAAAACACAGAGTACCCCTGAGTTTCTGCTTCAGTAGGTTTGGGGTGTGGCCCAAGAATTTGCAGTTCTAACAAGCTCCCATGTGGTGCCCATGTTCCTGGTCCTGGAAACCACACTTTGAGAACCATTTTACTAGATGCTTCTTAGAACCAGGTGAGTTCAGAAGAAACATCCCTAACACACTTCTCTAACACTGTCATTGGAATGATGGTTTATTTTTCCTCTGACCTTGTAATTATCCCAATTAAGATGTGAGCCAGTAACTGGATTTAAAAACACTTTTGTGACCTCTACATAGGGGAAAATAAAGAAGAGGATGCCTAATCTCATACTTTATTTTACCAAGCTAAACACAATAATCTAAACCACGTAGATAATCAGTAATGCCTGGATTCTGCACTACAAAGGGTTAATACCACAACAGAACAGGACAGAGAAAGCTATCAAAAGCACACAGAAAGCTTTCAAAGTTTTTATTCTTGGGTCAGACTCAGATCTCTGCTATGTCACCACGTAGCACCTAGTGGAATGAGCAAGAGCTAATTTTTAAAAGCTGATTCAGGCACGCCTATTATTCAGAGAGCCAAATTGGGCCACTGGGGCTTCAGGAATGGTGCTTCGCAGCTCCATCCGCCACTATAAACTTGGATTGGTTGCATCACTACTTTCCATGAGGAATTTAAGGGGTGTGACTACATCCTTTCCAACCCTGCATTCCACATGTGACAAAACCGATCCAGCTGTCTGTCTGAAAGAAATTCCTTGCTGTCCTTAAAAATTAAAAAGCAAGTGGATATCCGTCCTCCAGAGGCAAGTCTCCAGCTGGAACCTGGTACAGGCAGTTGCGAAACAGAGACGGTGCCCTGGAGAGCATCTGCTTTTGAATTCTTACCTCGCCACAGGGGGGTTAGCCCCATCTTGCTTTTTGAAATGGCAGATTCTGGATGGAGGGTGCTGGCTTGGCCCAAAGCTCTTGAGAAGTGTTCATCCACTACTGACCCAATGTCTCCCTGGAAATAAGTGAAAAGGACACAGCGAGAGTTAAGGTACTCCATCTCGGCAGGCTGGTCTTTCTCCTCCTCCTCCTCCTCCTCCTCCTCCTCCTCCTCCTCTTGTTTGCTGGGAAGGGTGACTTCCAGAGAGTCCTGCATCTTGCTGTATACCGCTAACTTCTTCTGGGATGGAATAAACAAAACACAGTATCAAAGACAGTTTGTAAAAAAAAGAATTAAACTAGTTAACTTTTCACTTAAAAAAAAGAGATCTAAATATTAACATATGCTTGCCAACGGATTCTCCTTCATCTGCTTTACTCCATCTGTCCCCTCCCCATACCAGCCTTCTCCTTCCCATCCAGAAAAAGTTTGTTTCTTTCCCATTTGGGTGGGTGGGGGGTAGTTTATTATGAGAGAGTATCTTTTCAGAATGTGAAAGATGAGTTTTTTTTTCTTCATCTAGACATACCAAAAAGAAAATTACTTTTTTAAAAAAATGACAGATTCCTTCCAGTTTTTCTTCCCACTTCAATTTTAAAGATTTAATGTACAGCAACATTATAATTTGAGACACGCAATGGGGAACAGGAGGCCTATCTGTGCAGGGGAGGGGTGGAGAAGAGAAGAGCTTCTCATAAATGAAATAAACTAAAATAAAAATAGGAACACAGCCATCTTACAAAAGGATTTGGCAGATGCGCCAAATTCATTTCTCAAAAATCAAACTAAAATGACAGAATAAGTCTGTGCAAAGATCCGTTTTGCATGGAACATATTTTTCAGATGTTTCACTTGATACCATTATCATAGAGGGGGAAAAAAAGATAATATTGCAACTTACTGAAGATAATACAAGATACTACCAATAGCCAGTGTGGCTTTCAAATAAAAGTGAAAGTTTTGATAATTTTTAAATATTTCAAAAAATATAATCATAGCTATAATAGTTAATATTTATTACATTAGGCCCTCAAACTTTATATTTATTATCTCAATCCTTACAATTCTATAACATGGTTATTATTACTATCTATATTTTAAAGATGAAGAAACTAAGGCACAGAGAAGTGAAGTAACTTCACAAAGGTCACAGAGGTCACAAAGCATGTAGTTGCAGGGCCAGAATGCATACAGGTATACACACGCATGTGCATGTATGTGCTGGAGGGCAAGTGGAGGGTATCTGTTATAGAAAATAAATCACCAAGATGTTGTATTTTGCATTGCTTTTCTGGCTGGTAAGTTTGTAGTTATTTTCTCATTTCTGCCTTTCAATATTTCCAAATACTTTTCATTGAGCATATATTTATAATCAAAAACCTCAGTGTCAATTAAATATAAGAAAATAATGCTAAATTATAAAACTCATTATCCTAATGCTTAAATGAACTTTCTATCATCTGAATACCTGCAAAACCTGACCCTCTGTCTTACTGGTTTTTGTATTTTAGAAAAAAATGCATGCTGGAAAATGAATGTGAGTAGGAAAAAAATGAATCATTCTGGAATACTCAGTAAGCACACAGTTTTAAAAATGTTATCAAAACATTATTTAGCCTTATCCCCCTAGCAATGAATACATTGTTCTTGTGTGAGGTGGGTCCTGCAATGTTCAGGCACATTACAAGCTTTTGGTTATTATTTAGGGGCTGTTATCTATAAATATATGTATTGCTTTTTATTTAAAGTATGTGTCAATATAGTTATCACTGGCTGATAGATAATTCATTCCATGTGAGTGAATATGCTTTGCTGATGAATAGATGATTGTAATGACTGTGTGGTTATATTTCTTACAATCTGTTTTACACAAATTTGAACATGTTTATATTTAACTGCAATAGTAAAAACACCGCAGTAACAAAAGTGTACAATGAAGGGACTGAACTAAATGACCTCTAAAGTTATTCCTAGCTCTAAATTCCATTTTAAAATTAAACAAATACTAAAATTTATTAGTCAAGTCACAGCACATATGTGTATTTACCCAAAATTTTATCATTCTAAGCATATTCACACACTCTGTGCTGAACACTCTGGCATATTAGAAAGAAGCACCATTTTCATATGGGAAGGAAATTAAAACTGATCTACAGAGTGCCTTCACTGTCCACTAGTGTTCATTATTATCTAGTAAAGTTTTTTTTTTTTTCTGTTAATGTGCAGCCCAGCATCGGTTTGTGAGAGTTGGGTTTTGCATCTAATTGTTTCATTTAATTTTAATATTTATTCTTTAAATGAAAGGGCCCTGCCTGTGCTAATAATCCAAAGAAAGCCAATGTTTTGTTTTTGCCGTAGTTAGCAATTAATTCTTAGATGAAATAAAATACCTTTTATATATATGTAAAATATTTGAAAGCTGCAAATCTTGATATAAATGTAGTGTAGTATATGACCCATAGCAATAATAAAATATCTTAATTTTTAAATGATGGCAGTTGAATTTAATCTGTTGAGTTTCAATCTATTTAATATGTTATCTTTTTTGAACAATTTTGAATGGTTGGATGCAAATAAGTTAATCTACATATTACATACCTTTCTATATGAAATGGGGAAAAAACGGAAAAATCTGTCCTTGTATTAAAATACCTTTTATCAGTCTATTTCCTAAAAATCATTCTTCTGTTGATGGATGCATTGATTTTCTATATCAGCACATTTCATGTCTATATAAACTCATACACATGTATATATATTAATGTATTATTCTTTTTGATATGAAACCACCTGTGATTCTAAAAAAATATCCATATTTGCTCCTCTAGTTAAATAAAACTGTTTAGAATGATTATAAAATACAGTTCTTTGTTTTCCCCTAGATCTTTAAGGTAAGTCTTGTACTAATTAAATAAATTTGCTTGGAGGCTATCAAACAAATGAAAAGGGAGCTATGATACACCTACCAATTTAAATATATAAAAATTACAGTGAACCAATATAAATATTTAAATTTACAACATACAGGTACACCCACACACACATTTTCAGCCTCACTGTCAGCACCACTCATTAAAATAAGAGTTCTGAAGTATCCAAACAGCCTGATAGCTTCCTAGAATGCTAACACTGAATTTGCCTACATTTTATATTTTTAATTGTATTGAGAAATAATATAAACAGGAAAGGACACTTGTCATAAATGTAGTGCTCATGAACTGTCATACACGGAATGCACCAATGAAAATGGCAACAGATAAAGAAGTAGATCATCACCAGCAACCAGAAAGCACTGCTCCCTTCCAGTCACCATCTCCTCAGCGACCACCACTACCTGGACTTCTATCAGAGCAGATGAGCCATAACTGTCTCCCAAACTTCATATAAGTGGAATCATACAGCATGTACTCTTTTTTTGTCTGCCTTCTTTCACTAGTGTTATGTTCATGTGATTTATCCCCATTGTTCCATGTAGTTTTAGACTGTTCATTCTCATGGCTGTATACTAATCCATTTATTTATTCTACTGTTGACAGGAATTAGGCTACTTTCCAGATTTGGGCTATTACAAATACTATTCAATGAATATTTAAATACACATCTTTCCGTGCACATGTTATGAAAGAAGGTTTGCTGAGTCATAGGGCATGCATACGGTTTAGCTGTGGTAGATAGTGCCAGTTTGCTCAAGTAATTTCAAGCAATATACACGTCCACTGCCAGTTTGTGAGAATTCTTGTTACTCCGTATCACTGTCAACACATGTTATTCTGTATCTTTTTTCAGTTTTATTCTCCTGGTGGCTATCTCAATGTGTTTTAATTTTTAACATTTTTTGAGGTGAAATTCAGATAACATAAAATTAGCCTTTTAAGAGTGAAAATTCAGTAGCATTTAATGCATTCACAGCATTGTGTGATTGCCATCTCTAGGTAGTCCAAAATATTTCATCACCTCAAAAGGAAATTCTGTACCTATTAAATTCTGTACTCCCTATTTCCTGACTCCTCCACATATGAGCATGGAAATGGCTAATCTGTATTCTGTCTGTATGAATTTACCTGTTCTGGTTATTCATACAAATGGAATCATAAATATGTGACCTTTTTGCTGCTAACTTCTTTCATTTAGCATGTTTTCAAGGTTCATTCACATTGTATCAGTATTTCATTCTTTCTATAGCTGAAGGTTATTCCCTTGTATGAATATGCCACAATGTGTTTATCTATGCATCCTTTGATGGACATTTGGACCATTTGCACCTTTTGGCTATTGCGAGCAGTGCTTCTATAAATATGTGTGTAAATGCATTTGGTTGAGTAGTTCTTTTCATTTCTTTTGGATAGACATATATAATACCTAGGAGCAGAATTGCTGGATCATATGGTAATTCCATGTTTAACTTATTAGGGAACTGCCAAACTGTTTCCACAGCAGCTGAACCATTTTAGATTCCCACCAGCAATGTACTAAGGGTCCAAATTTTCTAAATCTTTGGCAGAAAAATAACACTTGTCATTTTATGGATTTTTAAAAGGATTATTAATACAGCCATAGTCATCCTAATGGGTATGAAGCGATATCTCATTGTGGTTTCGATTACATTTCCCTAATGACTAATGATGTTGAATAAGTTGCATCCATTTAAAAAATATTAAGTATAAGCATGAAGAAAACAGGAACACAGAATTTGACAATTGATACATATGCTGATAATTCACACCATCTTAATATTCTTCTCCACACCTCAAGTACTTTCTCATATCTGTGCTTTGGTGACTATAAATCAATTATTTGCCTTTTTTTTAACTAAGTAAATTATTCATGTGTGCTTTTGCTATTTTCTGTATTCACTTGGTGTTTGCTCCCTGGAATGAAACTTCCCTAATATTACAATGTTGCTTGAGAATAATATATAACACTCAGCATGTTCAGAATAAATCTCAAATCATCAGAATCTAGATTTCCTGGATCGAGGTCAAGGCAATCTAGTTCATAGTTCTCTCAAAATGCACAACCATTTCCTAAAAACACCCAAAATCTCTTAGAAATTTTCATGCTTTGCTTAGGAGATCCTGAAGAACTGTTAACAAAAATAAGAAGTCATCCACACAGACTCAAAAAGACATATGCACCCCTATGTTTATTGCAGCACTATTTACAATAGCCAAGATATGGAAGCAACCTGTGTCCATCATAGATGAATGGATAAAGCCAATGTGGTATATATATATATACAA